ATATCGTCTTTCTCTTCATTAAATTTATTTATTTATTATTATTCTATTCATCATTGGTTGCTGATCCATCATCATGTTCATGTCCATTTTGGGCAATACACTTGAAAGGGCACAGTACAGTTAGCGTATAATGGGACCAACACCAGCTACATGTATATCAATAACTCTCAATCTTGTAACTCTGCCACGGACTCTTATCACTCATCCATAATCTCCTGCAAAAACTTATTCCAACGGGAAATAATGTCATTACTTGAGACACAGATTTAGACCAAACAATTTGAATTTGTTCACTCGATTATGAAACAAATCAAATCTAGTTGGGGAGTTTTTGTTACCATGCACTCTCGTGTATTGGCTCTTCGGTTTAAAATTAGTTTATTAATTCATAGTAACTTTACTGTTAATTTAATTAACCAAAATGTAAAAATCATTTTAAACAAAAACTAATCAGAGTGATAATAAACATCTAGGCAAATTAAGTATGCATTTCACGAATAAATCTCGAACATGAAAAATCTTTACGTACGTACACAATTTTTACCGTCGTGATTAATATAGCAAGTAAATAAAGCTAAAAATATCGGTCATAGATTGAAATACTAACACAAAACAAATTAAATATATTCTGTTGACTTGTGTGATAAAAGATCTTCTAATTGAAATACATGAGAACATATATAGTTAATTTATTGTGCATATGCAATTGAGTTGTTAAATTGTGTGATGCATATGTCATGTTGGTCATGTTGTAATGTTGTTAAGTTGAATAATAAGTTGCGCATATGATGTGTTGACATTTATATTGTTCACATGCTATCTAAATAGTATTAAGTTGTATTGTTGCATTGTTCTAATGGAGTATCTTGTTGCATTATATTGACAAGTTGCAAGCTAATGTTATATTGAAGTATAATAAGTTGCTTATGTTTCTAGTGTAGGAGTTTTTAATTTTATATTGGTTATATATGTTGATTCTCATGTATACTTTGTATGTTTTTATGTGATTGGATTACGACGATTATACTTTGTATGTGATACTTTGTATGTGAGCAAAATGAGATGTTCATCAAGTCTACCCAGTACCAGCTCTAGAGGATCATCACACAAGGAGATGTAGAAGTCACTAAGCCTTAAAGTCAATATACTCAAGAAGACTACATCATCTTGCAACTAAATGCAAAAACAAGATATAAACTTGCTTCCTCCTTATCCATAACGGAGTACAACAAGTTTTATAGTTATTCTACTATAAAGAAATGTGGGAAGTTATCAGGATAACTCATGAGGGCACTAAAGATGTCAAATTCATGTCCAAAAAGTTTAAGAACATGTTGAAGAAGAAAACAAGGATGAAGGTTTTTCACTTGAAGAAAGAGAGATCCAAAAAGCTTGGATCCCTTACGAATAAGGACATCACATGTTATGAATGCAACAATCTTGGTCACGTGAAGATAGACTTTCTCTCTCTCAAGAAGGAAAAATTAGATAAAAGCAAGAAGATTAAAAAAAGTCTGGTGACTACCTGGGAGGATCTTAAAAGTAACTACAGTATAGATGAAGAAAAAGCTAACATCTGTCTTATGACAAATAATGAGTTAGACACTACTATTATGAAGGTAAAATCTTACTCAAGTTGTTATTCATATGATTCTAATAATGATGAGATGTATTTTGAGACTCTCCTAGCAAATTCTCACATGATTTCTCTAGAGTACAAGAAGCTTAAAGAAAAATACAAAACCTTAGAAAAGAAAAATACAAAACCTTAGAAAAGAAAAATATTAAACTCAAGAGAAAGATGTTAGACGATGTGAAGAAGGCATTATGTCTCAAAAGTAAAATCACTAGCTCTATTCCACCTTAGTTAGACATTTTGAAAAATGAAAATACTCAACTCAGGAAGGAGTTAACCAAATTTGTAGATGGATCTTCCAAGTTAAATATGTTTTTAAAATATAAAAAGATTACCATCTAACAAAAGTGGTCTTGGTTTGGTTTAACTCAAAGACCTTCTCAAATAAGCCTAAGTCTACCTTCTATGCTCCTAGAAGATAAAAGGGACAAATTAAGGCTAATGGGACTAACTTTAAAGGACCCAAGAAAATCTATGTACCAAAATAAAGAATTATTCCCATTTCAGATCTTCTCAAGAGAAAGAAGGAAAGACTTAATCTAACATCTGAATAGTGGCTGCTCACAATACAAGATGGAAGGAAGGTCTGTGTTCTTAGACTTCCAAAAAGGTCTGCTTCTTCTAGATAAAACAAAAGTATAGGTAAAAGAAGATCAAGCATAAAGGTCATCAAAAGACAAATCAAACCGTGTAAGATCTGACCTTTTAATTTTTGTATTAAGAGCACTCTTCATCTGTCATTATTTTATCTAAAGCTTATATTAAATTTAATTATGGATTATCTGTATTTGATTAATCTGTGACACTTGGCCATAAGTTTGAGAAAGGTACATGTGCATTAAAGGGCATTAAATGCCAACAATCATGTGCATTGAAGAAAGGAAAAGAAACGTGTAGAGACGTGAAAAGATAGTTACATGTTACGTCACGCCCAATCTCACCTGCCCATCTACCACATTTGCCTTGTTTCTCTCTTGCACGTTCTCTAAGTGCAATAACAAACAAATACGCTACCAAAAATGTTTCGCATTTCATTATTCACTCGTCTTCCTCATTCACTTTCAAACTCCCAAACATTCTTAGAAACCTTAAAGACTTCAAAGCTCACAACCATGACCCCAAGAAAACTATGTCTGGAAAGAAAGTTCCAATGGATGCTTACCTAGAATTCATCTTCCTCCTTGGAAAGACCATTACTATTTAGAGGATGAAAGATGAAGGTTTTTTGGTGAAGCACTTTCTAGACTATGCCGAATGGACTCCCTTTGTAAAGATGTGTCAGAACCCAAAACATTCTGACCTTACCAACAGATGGTTTGGACCTTCGTTTGAAAATCTCATTAGCTTCGGATTGCCTAAAGACTAGACTAATCCTTAGTTTAAAAAAAAAAAAAAAAAAAAAAAAAAAAGGTCAAGCAAACAAGATGGAAACATTGACTGGAAAGAACCCTTCAGTTTCTCTATGTAACCCAACAATCATTGCAACTCATCTAAGTCCTTGGAAGTTTATTTCTCAAGGAAAACCTTATTTTAGACCATTAATTTCCACAGAACAAGTTGGGCAGGCATTTCAGTGTGGGGTATTCCTTCCTTAGAGACTTTACTTCATTTCTATTGGCTCTTTTATTTGAATCATTCTCAATTATATATGATGTAGTTCTTGGAGGGGAACATTTATAATTGTGTAAGTTGGTTTCTCTATATTCTAGATGTTTATACATGAAGTTATTTGTATATTAATCTTAAGTAGTTATAAAAATATTTCTTGTGACTAGCTAGTAGTTGGATTGTTAAGTAGACCGTTGCATTTTAAGTCACACAAATTGTCTGATTTTAATTGTTATAAATATTTATGTTATTTTTATATTTCTGATATATATTTAGCATTTTTCCCCAATTTTTAATATTGATATTGCCACAACAAAATAAAGGATATTAATTGAAATAGCAAAAATAAAAATATATTTTAATAAAAATAATTAGATTATTTTTAGGCGATGACTAATTCAATTATGTAATCTATTTATTATTTTATATAAATAAAATAAATACATAATATAATATTAACTTTTTTTTTATACTTTTAATTACTATTTACTACCTTTTTAAGAAAAATATATAATTTTCAATTCAATAATTAACTTTGAACATTAAGTTTCAAACGTGATATCTTCAAATCACACACGTGACTTTATTAACAAAGAAAAGCACTCATGTGAAACATTTTTACCGACCATTCAGTAACCTGTAGGAAAATTGACTTTTGAATCATACATTGAACCGAAATGCGACTTTGATGACTGTCACGTTTGGCCAACTATGCTCCCCTATCATGTGCAAAATGCAAAAGTGCAAGTAAAATATCCACACATACGAGTATCTACTATCTACGGTTAAAAATTATTAAAAATATTTTAATTATATATAAAGTAAACTAGTCGGATTTATTTTACTATAATAGTGAATATTACATGATGGTAAAGGAGTAGGATATGTACGGATTTTTATATACATTTATGTCTCTAAGTCTTATTATATACACATTCTAGTTGATATGAAATTTATGTCTTCATTTTTGTATCTATTAAGTATTAAATATATTTGTATCCGCTTCATATTAATCTAAAAATTAATTAAATTTTTTCAAAAATTATAAAAATAAAAATTTTAACAAAAAATAATATTATAAAATTACATTAATTAAATTTTATTTAACAGAAATTAAAAATAAAATAAAAAATTATATAAATTTTAAGTAAATTTTAAAATAAATAAATGAAATATTTATAAATTTAAAATAGATACATGTATGATTTCCATATTCAATTCAAGTAATTAAATCAAATACTTTTATCAAATTAGAACAACTTAAAATATTACCCATAAATATAAATTTATTTATTATTCTTAATCAATCCGATAAGATTATTGATATAATTACTGAACTTTTATTCAAAAATTTCATCCGAATAATTAAAATAATAATATTTTTTTAATAAACTTATTATAAAATAATTATTTTATAATAAATTTATTAAAAAATATTATTATTTTAATTATTCGGACGAGGTTTTGAACAAAGATTGGGAGGTTAAATCATTACTCATCCGATAATTAGCTAAAGAAAGACCAAAAATCAGAGACGTGCACATTACTCAAAGTATTTGTGAAAACTAGAACTGTACGTTACTACAAGACATAAAAGACGATTCCCCGTTCTGCCTTTCACTGTGATCGGGTTTCCTACGCTACAAGCCAAAAGCTGTGAAGTATGCAATAGCGTCACCCCGTACATGGACGACATCATCAAAGACGTCAATGTAACCTTCACCATCACACTTATAAATACCTCTTTCTCGCATCTCCTTCCATACAAACACCTCTCTTCGTTACTTCTTAATTCTTATTTCCATTCTTTTCTATATATTTCAAATATTATAACACATCGTTTCTAATGGCAACACAACCTCAAATTCAGCATCCCAACAAGGCATTAGGATATGCAGCAAGGGACCCTTCTGGGCTTCTCTCCCCTTTCAATTTCTCCAGAAGGTCTTCATTCAATCCCGTATATATCAAATTTTTGTTTTTCATTAACACAAAATACACATGTACAATGCTTTTTAACATAGAATTAGCACGTTAATAATCATTGCAAAATGAATGTTGAAACCAGATTTACTTAATTCAGTTTTGCTTCCTAATTTTTTTTCTTCAGGGAAACCGGTGAAAAAGATGTGGCTTTCAAAGTGTTGTATTGTGGGATATGTCATTCTGATCTCCACATGGTCAAGAACGAATGGGGATTTTCCACCTATCCGCTGGTTCCAGGGTATATTAATTATATACACTATATTCTATCTTATTCTATCATTTGAGGTGATGCCTGTACAATGAAAGAAAAAACAGCTTTGATTTATCTATTTATTATTTAATGACATTTCGTTCATTAGAATATTCTACATGTGAAATTAAACGAACCGGCCATTGATGGTTCACAAGGCTACTCTCTACTCTTGTTTATTTATATATCAAGGGACAAAATCAGTTTGATAACGGTTCTAATTAGTGTGAGAAATGGTGCAGGCATGAGGTCGTTGGTGTAGTGACAGAAGTGGGAAGCAAAGTAGAAAAGTTCAAAGTTGGAGACAAGGTGGGTGTGGGATGCATGGTTGATTCATGCCGCACCTGCCAAAACTGTGCTGAAAATCTTGAGAATTATTGTCCACAATTTACGCTCACATATGGTGCTAAACATAAAGATGGCAGCATCACATATGGAGGCTACTCTGACTCAATGGTTGCAGATGAACACTTCGTGGTTCGCATTCCTGAAGGGTTACCACTTGATGCTGCTGCACCTCTCCTTTGTGCTGGCATCACTGTGTATAGCCCTCTCAGATATTTTGCTCTAGACAAACCTGGACTACACGTGGGTGTGGTTGGTCTTGGTGGACTAGGCCATGTCGCTGTCAAGTTTGCCAAAGCCTTTGGGGCAAAGGTGACTGTAATAAGTACATCACCAAACAAAAAGGAAGAAGCAATACAAAATCTTGGAGCTGATTCCTTTTTGATAAGCCGTGACCAAGATCAGATGCAGGTACATATATATACATACATGACATGCATTTGGATTGTGGAAATATGTACACACACAATTCTCTCAATTAACTAATGTTGATAAATGATAATTTTGTAGGGTGCAATGGGTACTTTGGATGGTATTATTGACACAGTTTCTGCCGTTCATCCTCTCTTACCTCTCATTGGTTTACTCAAGTCTCATGGAAAGCTTGTAATGGTTGGTGCACCAGAGAAGCCTCTGGAGATGCCAGTCATTCCTTTAATTATGGGTAAGCATATGAAATTTATAAATTTCCATAGCAAGAAACATGATGCCACGGAATTAAGGATGAAAATTAAAATTAACAATTGGATGTTAACAAGTGTTTTGGTTTGAATCGTTGATAGGGAGAAAGATAGTTGCTGGGAGTAGCATAGGAGGGATGAAAGAGACCCAAGAGATGATTGACTTTGCTGCAGAACACAATGTAAAACCTGACATTGAAGTCATTCCTATTGATTATGTCAACACAGCAATGGAGCGCCTCCACAAAGCAGATGTTAAGTATAGATTTGTGATTGACATTGGAAACACACTAAAATCAACTTCTTAAATTTTCGTGATTCATATTTCTGTGAAAGATAATGAGCAAAAAGTGTGATAGTTTTCCGCCTATAGGTCTTTTTCAAGTAGTTTCCTAGTTCATTGTGCTTTGTATTTTTGTAACATCATGGTACATGTATCCACTAAATTTTACGGATTTATACTCATCCCATACTCATCCTCATATGAATGGGTATTTACTTACCTTGTATGCAAATATTTTTATGATTAATAACTGTTTAAACCAAATTTATGTTAAAAAAATTATTGTTGATTAAGTTAGACTTATTGATCCAACTATTTAGTAATAATTATCTTTTTTATATAAAGATCTACTTATACTAAGAAAGATGTAATGAATTTATTCATTTTTATTATTTTCTTTGTTCATCCAATTTATTGTCAACATTATGCTTATATGATTTGAAGTATCTTGACGTTTTTTTTTTTAATTTCCTTATTCAACAAAAATTAAAAAAAATCATTTTGACTCTAGAATCTATCTCTTAAAAATCTCTCTCTAGAAATTTTAAGAAATTAACTTATCAGAAAATTTTAAACACTTAAACTCATTAATCCCTAGAATTTTAAAACACTAAAATAACATATTATTATGATTCGATCAAATAATGAAATTTAAATAAATAATAACTCTCAACATAGTATTATATTTAATATTCATGGTAATAAAAATATGTGTAAATGGAATGTATTGATTTTTATTTTTAATATTTTTGTGATATATATAATACTAGTACATTAATTATTTAAATATTTTTATTTTTAATCATGATTTCTTTTTATTTTTTAAGATGAAAAATATCTTTTAAGTGTATATGGAACAATACGATCAAACTCAAAGTTCATTAGTTTTAATTATTTATAACAGGTTTTTTTTCTGTAGAAAAAATTACAAAAAATAACAGTGGTCTATATACACATATTAACATAAGTTTTATTTTTATTTATAATAAGAATATGAATAATTAAATCTTTAAGTAAATTATTTTTCAAAACCGATCCTAAGTAAATAATCAAATAATGTTTTGAAAACAATTTTACAATTATTTATATTGGATGAATGAGGAAATTGAAAAGAAAAAAAAAGACCGCTAAAATACTTAAAATCATATAAGCATAATAATGATAATACATTGGATGAACGAGGAAAATAATAAATAAAAAATGAATAAATTCATTACAACTTCATTAATATAAGTGGATCATAATAAAAATAATTATTACTAAACACTTGCATTAATTATTCTAACTTAATCAATAATAAATTTCTTAATATACAACCAGTTTAAATTAATAGTTAGACAGGAAGTTTTGCTTCAGGGAACTTATATGACTTGAAAATAATAATCTCTAACAAAAAATAATTATGATCTACACTTAAAAAATTAAGATTTTTATACCTTCCTATAAGAATGAAATTAGGGTAATTGTTAAGCGACTGACAAGCTTACGAAAATTGTGCACGTAAACAACAATAATTAAGAATATCATTTTTTCTAAAAGACATATAATTCTTAGCAATTTTTATACTTAATCATTATCTTATACTACAAATAAATTACTTACTATTTGGTGTAAACATGATTAAAAACTAAGATAAAACAAAACAATAAAAGGATGATTTTTTATTTTAGAAAAAAAAAATATTTAAATGGAATAGAAGTGTTAGAATTAGACTTCACCAAACTTTCCTATAGTGCATTAACACCAATAAATGCACATTTTCAACTCTAATAATAATGCCAACCAATAAATTGACTCAAATCTTACTTTTTAAAAAGTGAGAGCTTAAATTCCTAAGTTAAACACAACCAATAAATATTATTATTATTTACAATTAGGATTTTATTATATATTATATTTCTTATCTTTTTCAATTAAAGGTTTATCATGTTAAAAATTACTATAAAACTAAGACATCTTATTTAGGTTGGCACCACAAAGCCTACCTATCATGCATACTAAAAATATATATAAAAAGATAAAATAATAACAATAAAATGGGTATTTGATACCAAAATTTATATAGGATTCAACAAAAATGGAAAGAAGGTAAATTACAATGATCACTAGAAAAAACCTCTTAAATAAAAGAAGGCAAAACAAATCACCACTTACAAAGAATCTTATGTTTTAAACTAAAATCAATTAATTTATCAACACCTTGATTTTTTTCTTGATAAATATGAGAATGAAAAAAATACATTTATAAATAAAGTGAAAGACAATATTACCATCTATCATGAATATCCCAAAGAATAATCTAGATGATTTTAAAAACATTAAAAACAAATTTAAAATCACACTCTAATAACCAAAACTTACACAATTACACTACCTAACATCATACGCATGTTGAATAACAATAACAATAAATTCAATGATATCATATTTCTTATCAGTTCCTAATATTTTTTCACATTTAAATGTTAAATTAATTATTATTATTTTTTTAGTAAGTCTAATGACAAAATCCAGAATACATGTTATTTTTTTTATTTAATCTCATTAGATTTTATGACCTTGCTCAAATCATCATTTGCCTCTTCCACTTTTTTGTTACTGTTAGGATTTATTCTTATTTATTATTATTATTATTATTATTTAATTATATGACTATTTTTATGATTGTATATATAAATATATTAATATTTTTTATAGATAATATATAAATGCTTTAAATTTAATGATAAAGTATGCAAGCAACAAAACATAAATGAATACTTTTGAGTTCGACACTTTTTTTTTTTTTACTTCATTTTTCTTTTCTTGTTATAATTATTTAGTATGTGTTTGATTTTGATTTATAAATGTAATTTTTCTTTCATTTCAAGTTCACAAGTAAATTTACGTGAAAATTTTAATTTATTATTTTTCATAAACATAAATTTTTCTTAAAGCTTAAGCAAACACAGACTTACAGGATTAAGTTTCACCTAACCTATCTTTTACACGGTCCAAGATTGATTTTGACATGTTCGAGTTTTAAAAATAAACACCTATCTAACATTTATTAAAAACACCTATCTAACATTTGTTTTCTTTCATTATTCTCTCTGTTATATATATTTAAAATTTAAAAATATAAATTGATTTTTTCAAATAAAATATTTAAAAATAATAGAATTAAAATCAAAATAATTTAAATTTTAATAATTTTAAATTTTTAAAATTTTCATCTAAATATATATATTTTAATTTCAGATAAAAATTATATCATATTTTTAAAAATAACTTCAACCATGTTCATGATAAATAATATTATCATTTATTATTATACAAATATTTTTGTATTAAAAAAATTAAATAAAATTACTTCCTTCCCAGAAAGTTATTCAGTCCACATCTATGTGTTGTGCACTGTTTCCCACGTCTCTCTAATAAGTGCTGGCATTTGTGTTGGCACTATTTCGAAGATATTTGAACGGACCCTATCATATTTTTAGGAAAACTTGTCACTCAACCAGAAACAGCCTTTGCTATAAATTCAAGTATGACAAAAATTACTTTTATACTATATAATTAATATAAAATATAATTTTAATTACAAACCAGTTCATGCGGTTTAAGTGATTAACCAATCAATAACCTACTGAATCAATGTCATGACGAGTCTATCACCGGTCCGAACATTAGTAATTGGACTTTCATTTTCTTACACTATTTATTTTTTTGTGAATATTTTCTCTGTGCTTTTAATTTTGTTTGTGTTAGTGAGACTGAGGAAGGAGGGAATTGAATTTGGTATCCGCCCATATTGTACAGTAGGAAGAGAGGGCGGTGGCTTGAAGAAAGAGGCAAAGACTTTTCAACGATTAAGTGATTTTTGATTCGAAGTCATAGGCCCCACACATTACATGCAAAGGCAAGGTAGTGAAGTATGCAACATAGTCATATGATATGTGAACACGTCATCAAACAAGTCAATATATAACCCTCTCTCCATCCCATCACACTTATAAATACTTCTCCCTCGCAACTGCTTCCTCATTCATCCATTCAGTCATATTTTAAAAAAACCATTTTTTATAAAAGTGGATCGGTTAACTGATCCATTTTTTATAAAGTGAATCGGTTTGGTTTTTTTAAAATATGGATCGGTTTTTTTGAAATTGGATCGGTTCGGTTTTTTAAAAAAATCGATCCATGAACACCCCTAATAAGGATAATATATCAGGTGAATGAAAAAATAAAAATAAATAATTTTAATACATATTTATTAATATAAGTGAATCTTTATAAAATAATTATTGTTAAACACTTAGTTCAAAAAGTTCAAAATTATTTAATTTAATTAATTGTCTCGAGTTTCTGTATAAAAACACATATGGTTTGTATAAAATTAAAATTTTTATGTACATCGAAACATCCATCGGATATAACGTCTTAACGACTCCACTCCATGACATTTCACATGGTGACGTACAATTCACATAATTTTTTATTGGTTAAAACTCTTTGTCAGTCAGAATCCTTCGTAATAGCCCTTTTTAACGTGTCTAGACACTTTAAGGATTAACAAGTGACTCCACAAACTAACGCAAAATTTTTCAATGTGTTTTACCTCACTTGCGCACTTTTGAAAAATCTCCTAGAAAATCACACATCCTTAAATTACTTAAGTCAAACACACTTAACTCTAAAATTTTTATATGATAAACTACTCAAAAATAAATGTCTCTTGTTAATATAAATAATATAAATTAATTTTTTTAAGTCATCTTCAACTTTATATAATTTCACAATATAAATCCATGAATCCCTCCCATTTTAATATTTTAATATGTACAGACTATTACATACCTTTCCATAAAATATCATGGTAATCATAAGTGATGGATAAGCTTACCAAATTATGCAAGTAAACAACCATGACTAATATATACTTTTCCCTAGGTAGGGAGAGGATTAAAGGGAGAATAGATGAAAATTAACATGTTCAAAAATAAATAAAAAATATAATGAAATAAAATAAAATTTACGATTGATTGATAGAATGAAATTAAATGTGAAATAGAAAGAAGTTAATATTTTAAAATTATATTTTATGTGCAATGATCATTTTAACCTTGGTAATTGAACTTTCATTTCCTTACACTGTATTTATTCTGTTGTGAATATTTTTTGTGTGCTTCTAATTTTGTTTGTGTTAGTGAGACTGAGGAAGGAGGGAATTGAATTTGGTATACGCCCATATTGTACAGTAGAAAGAGAGGTTGGTGGCTTGGAAAAAGAGGCGAGCTAATTTAGGGACATGAAGAACATTGTGTAGGGATAGAGATGATTGCAGTTTGAAGAGTTTTTCAAAAGAAAGAAAACTACAAATGAGGATAAGAAACCTTCAAAGAACCTCCCCACTCATAAAAAAGAAAAAAAAAAAAAAAAAAGGGTCAAGTAAACAAGATGGAAACATTGACTGGAAAGAACCCTTCAGTTTCTGTATGTAACCCAACAATCATTGCAACTCATCTAAGTCCTTGGAAGTTTATTTCTCAAGGAAAACCTTATTTTAGACCATTAATTTCCACAGAACAAGTTGGGCAGGCATTTCAGTGTGGGGTATTCCTTCCTTAGAGACTTTACTTCATTTCTATTGGCTCTTTTATTTGAATCATTCTCAATTGAAATTTTTTTTTTCTATTTTAGTTCCACAAATATTTCTTGAGATTTTCAACTTAGGAAGAAGAATGATAAAGAAACTAGTAGTTAAAAAAGAAACTATATATTAATTGTGTATTTGATAGAGCCCAATTAGTAAGGCAAGATTAGGGGTGTGCATGGTTTAGTTTTTAAAAAAAACTGCACCGAATTGCACCACACCACTTTAATAAAATGAACTGGTTTATAAATTATGTGAACTACTTTAACAAACCATTTTAAAATTTAACTACTTTAATAAACAAGTTTATAATCAGTTTAAAACTAGTTTTATAACCAAACTAGTTTTTGAACTAGTTTTAAGAAATAAACCACCACTTGCCAGAATTCACAACTTGCCAGAATTCTAATTCTGTTACTTGCATCTGATTCTTGCCCTTGACAATGAACTTGGTCAAGAGATTTCCTAGGTAGGTCAAGAGAATTCTACTGCACAATCGCCACACAGCGAGAGTGGTGCTGCTACATAGAAACTAGCTTCAGAAAAATAACGACTCATGCCTAAATAATAAATAATAGTATTATTTGAGTGGTGCTGTTACTTGAAGGAATTATGACTATATAAATTGTTTTCAAAATAAAATTGCCATGATATATTATTAATTTATTTTTTCATTCTCGTGTAAATTTTCATAAATATTAACTAAAATTATAAATAAGAATTTCTTGAATATTATTTTTTTATTTATAATTTATTTATTTTTCTTTCTATGTTTTAAATAATCTTTTATTCCAAACATGTAAGCACAAATTAAAAAGAAAAAAACATGTAAGCACAAATAAAAGAGCCAACGCGGCAAATTAAAGGCGCAAACACTACACAGTAGCTAGCCAGCTGAAGACAGGGAATACTGAAAGGTCGCGTGTATAACACTCCTCCCAAATTTTAGTGAACCTGAACCAAACCTTTTTAAAAAAATAGGTTCAGTTTTTAAGTTTTATTTTAAAAATTAAATCCGGTTCAATTTTATTATAATTGGTTCCAGTTTTTTTTTTAAATGGTTTGGTCTGGTTTTAAATTCAATTTGGTTCTTTTGATTTTTTTGAACAGCCCTAGGCAAGATTGCAGGCCCAAGGTTTGGAAGTTGATAATTATTTATGTTTTATCTTTTTAAATTAAAGCAAGGATTATCTACGAAGTTAATAATAGATAAGATTATCTAGGAAGTTTGCTAGGAGGGATATTAGTCTTGTGGGACTGATTATCTCCATTCTGTTTTATTACAGGTACAGGATCTGAAAATGGTTCGAAACTCAGCAATTAAAATTGTCTTTCCCAAGGCAAGGTCCTGAAATACATAATGAGGATGGAAAAAAATTTATTAAACAATTTAAATCTTGAGTAAGCCAATAGAAATGAGATTATTAGCTAATTTAGGGACATGAAGAACATTGTGTAGGGATAGAGATGATTGCAGTTTGATGTTGCCTGATCCAACAATAGGAACATTATGTCAACACAGCAATGGAGCGCCTTCTCAAAGCAGATATTAAGTATAGATTTGTGATTGATATTGGAAACACACTAAAATCCAATTCTTAAATTTTCGCGATTCACATTTCTGTGGAAGATAATAAGTAGAAAGTGTGATAGCTTTCAGTCTAGGATTTTTCAAGTAGTTTCCTATTTCAAATTTTGTTATGTATAGTATTTCTGTAAGAAAAGTTTGTATCACGAGTGATGTTTATGATCAATTTAGTTTAAATTTGAGTTACAGTTATAACCGATGAATTTTAATTGGTTTAGTTTGAATAAAATTTATTAAAAAATTATAATTTAAACCAAATCAATCAATAATAAATTACTTTAATTTGATTTTATTTTGAAGAAGAAAACTGTTTGATATCATTTTTTTAAAACATAAAAAATAAATTATTTTATTTCAAAATTTATATAAAAATTTATTATTAAAAGACTATAAATAACATTTAAATAAAAATAAAAAAGTAAAATAGTAAATATGAAATTAAAATAGTTAAATATAATTCAATATTTAAAATAATTAATATTATAAAATAATAATATCACAAAATAACTATATTATTATTAGAGTATTAATTAATGCAATATAATGTTACACTATTGTATTGCTAATAAAATCATAATATTATAAGATAATATTAAGGTAATAATTATAATAATAAAAGAAAATAACAATAACAAAAAGTAATGTAGGAATAATAAGAGTATAAGGTAGCCAGACATAAATTCTATTTGATTAAACTTTTTTTCTTATAAAAGTTTCTTTTTAATAAAATCAATATTTTTCTTATGTTTTTGTCTTCTTTTTTTTTATTTTTTTTATTTTATAAAATTAGTGGCTTATGTTTTTCTTAAGAAACAATTCTTATTTGCTTTTTAAATAATTGGTTTTTTTCAAAGAACTTATTTTAAAATACTTATTTTTTAAATATAAATAAATCTAACATTTGAAATTCAAGTATTCCAACATTTAAAATTAATCCTTAAGCATAACTAAATTGTCTAAGTTGCTATTATTATCTAAACAGTCTTTAAATTAAATAATAAATGTCTTTGAGAACATTTATAAATCATATTTTTTATAAATTATATTTTCATAAATTATTTGAAATATAAAATAAATTGATAATAGAACATTAAATTATTTCAACCTATTTTTCTAATTATAGAACGACAAATATCACAAAAATGTCTTGGTAGTAATTCAAGACCATTGCTTATATTAAAAATTAATGTTACTAATATACTTACTTTTGACAGTTTAATATTATATTTCTTTATTTTTTATTACAAAAAGAGATAAGAAGTTTCATTAATTTTTTTTTAAAAAAAGAAGTTTTATTTATAAAGGAAGAAATTTATAGCGGTTGAATGATGAAACGCAAAAGCTTCCCACTGCCACAGCAGCGAAGCAAGAGCACGCGGTGTTGAACAAAAGAGGAGAATAATGGGATCTCTCTTTGTTTTCTTTGTTTGTCGGCATTCGGCAACATGCATCAACGCATGATAAGGGACACCGTTGACAAGAAGATGAATGGCATTGGCAGAAGCACTGAGGGGAACCTTCTGGACTGGGCAGTGTTACGGACCCAACAATACATCAAATCTGTCTATGTTGGCTAGGCATGACAATCTAACCCGTCTCGTGGGTACCCGCCCGAACCCGCCCCGATTTGAATGGGGAAAACTCGTGTTTATCGGGTTCAGATTTGGGTTTGGGTTTTACCCGATTGATAAAATCGGGGGCGGAGGTACAGACTGCAATCATCTCTATCCCTACACAATGTTCTTCATGTCCCTAAATTAGCTAATAATCTCATTTCTATTGGCTTACTCAAGATTTAAATTGTTTAATAAATTTTTTTCCATCCTCATTATGTATTTCAGGACCTTGCCTTGGGAAAGACAATTTTAATTGCTGAGTTTCGAACCATTTTCAGATCCTGTACCTGTAATAAAACAGAATGGAGATAATCAGTCCCACAAGACTAATATCCCTCCTAGCAAACTTCCTAGATAATCTTATCTATTATTAACTTCGTAGATAATCCTTGCTTTAATTTAAAAAGATAAAACATAAATAATTATCAACTTCCAAACCTTGGGCCTGCAATCTTGCCTAGGGCTGTTCAAAAAAATCAAAAGAACCAAATTGAATTTAAAACCAGACCAAACCATTTAAAAAAAAAACTGGAACCAATTATAATAAAATTGAACCGGATTTAATTTTTAAAATAAAACTTAAAAACTGAACCTATTTTTTTAAAAAGGTTTGGTTCAGGTTCACTAAAATTTGGGAGGAGTGTTATACACGCGACCTTTCAGTATTCCCTGTCTTCAGCTGGCTAGCTACTGTGTAGTGTTTGCGCCTTTAATTTGCCGCGTTGGCTCTTTTATTTGTGCTTACATGTTTTTTTCTTTTTAATTTGTGCTTACATGTTTGGAATAAAAGATTATTTAAAACATAGAAAGAAAAATAAATAAATTATAAATAAAAAAATAATATTCAAGAAATTCTTATTTATAATTTTAGTTAATATTTATGAAAATTTACACGAGAATGAAAAAATAAATTAATAATATATCATGGCAATTTTATTTTGAAAACAATTTATATAGTCATAATTCCTTCAAGTAACAGCACCACTCAAATAATACTATTATTTATTATTTAGGCATGAGTCGTTATTTTTCTGAAGCTAGTTTCTATGTAGCAGCACCACTCTCGCTGTGTGGCGATTGTGCAGTAGAATTCTCTTGACCTACCTAGGAAATCTCTTGACCAAGTTCATTGTCAAGGGCAAGAATCAGATGCAAGTAACAGAATTAGAATTCTGGCAAGTTGTGAATTCTGGCAAGTGGTGGTTTATTTCTTAAAACTAGTTCAAAAACTAGTTTGGTTATAAAACTAGTTTTAAACTGATTATAAACTTGTTTATTAAAGTAGTTAAATTTTAAAATGGTTTGTTAAAGTAGTTCACATAATTTATAAACCAGTTCATTTTATTAAAGTGGTGTGGTGCAATTCGGTGCAGTTTTTTTTAAAAACTAAACCATGCACACCCCTAATCTTGCCTTACTAATTGGGCTCTATCAAATACACAATTAATATATAGTTTCTTTTTTAACTACTAGTTTCTTTATCATTCTTCTTCCTAAGTTGAAAATCTCAAGAAATATTTGTGGAACTAAAATAGAAAAAAAAAATTTCAATTGAGAATGATTCAAATAAAAGAGCCAATAGAAATGAAGTAAAGTCTCTAAGGAAGGAATACCCCACACTGAAATGCCTGCCCAACTTGTTCTGTGGAAATTAATGGTCTAAAATAAGGTTTTCCTTGAGAAATAAACTTCCAAGGACTTAGATGAGTTGCAATGATTGTTGGGTTACATACAGAAACTGAAGGGTTCTTTCCAGTCAATGTTTCCATCTTGTTTACTTGACCCTTTTTTTTTTTTTTTTTTCTTTTTTATGAGTGGGGAGGTTCTTTGAAGGTTTCTTATCCTCATTTGTAGTTTTCTTTCTTTTGAAAAACTCTTTTCTCCCAAAAAGAAAAATAATAAGCTTTTAGGCAAGTCAAGTGTCATTACTATAAAGTTATACGAGGCATGCGTTCCATGGGGATCTGTGAACACTTGTTGTAGAAATGACTGTACATTTGAATTAAATAATGAACATAGGTGTTTGTTTGCAGGTGGTGACAACATTTCAGTCACTAAAGGAGTTGTTTCCAGGGTTGAACCTACACAATATGTCCATGGTGCTTCACAGCTGATGGCAATACAGATTGAGTTGGATCAGGCAACATCAAACTGCAATCATCTCTATCCCTACACACTTTACAACATACACTAAAGCATCTAACAAACAACTTATTACAGTTGCTAATGGAGATCGTGTTCTTATTGTTGGATCAGGCAACATCAAACTGCAATCATGACTTATTCTTTTACAACTTACTTTTTATGGTACCATTGCTGTCCCATAAATATGGATAGAAAAATCTGATTGGTTATCGAGAAAAAACAAATTATTAACCTACACCGCATTAGACTAAGTAACCTAAGAAAAATAACTTATACTCATTTTTCTTCTTTTTTAAATCTCACTTTTGTTTTTAAAAATATAAGGGTACCAAGGTGTTGAAAACCTAATTTTTCAGTCAAACTTATTTCACCCTAACCGTGAGTTACACGATACAACACGCTAGTGCACGAGAACTTCAATGGAACTGCAGGATGATAATGGAGACACGTCCCGGGAATCAGGGCACCCCAAGTTCCCCACTTTATTTTTTTTTGTAGAGAAAGGAAAATAAGAGAAAGAAAACAAGAACAGTATCAAACTAACTAGCCTACATTCGCTAGATCTTGAAGGAAAGCTTCAAGGGCTAGGGGTGGAGGGGTGATGAACTCTTTAATCAAACCATTGGCTCCCTCATGAGCCAAGCAATCCGCCACTGTGTTCCACTCTCGAGGGATATGCACGATCTTCACTCTCCAGTTCTTCCTTAAAATATTATGTATTTGCAAAAGCTTATCCTTATGCACATGCAGTGACAGCTCCCTCATATATATCAGAGATATTGATTGCATCTACTGCTTCCATACAGTCAGTTTCACAGGTTATATTTCTATACCCCAACCTCCAAGCATGCATCAGTCCATCCGTTATTGCCAGAATTTCTGCGAGAAGAGGACTGCCTTGGCCATAGCATGTGAAGAATCCAAATTGCCAATCTCCACGGCCACCCCGGAGAACACCTCCGCCACCCATCGACGTTTGGCTAGAGCAAGAGCCATCTACATTCAGTTTCTCGTCTCCCTGGTCAGGAGGGGCCCAGTGACCATCTTGCTCCTGAGGTGTTTTTGAGCAATAAAGATGACACTCAAGCTTCTTTCGTCGAACTAGTTGACAAACATACGTGACACTCCAGGAGGTGTTGGCGATTACCTGGGTATTTCGCCATTTCCAGTTACACCAAAGTGTAGATAGGATCAAAGTTCGCTTTTCATGATTGAAAATATGCCAAAGCCAATGATGTAGGTTGGGAGTCGACATCATCGTCGTAGAAGCAATGCCCATCCTATATACCATAGTTCCCTCGAATGTGGGCAATCGCGGAGCACATGAAGGGTGGTCTCCTCAATCGCAGAGCAACGCGTGCAAGCTAGAGACGGAGCCAGATGGCACGTAAATCTTTTGTAGTTCGTGAGAAGAGCATCATGCAAAACTTGCCAGAGA